AGACTGACTCTTGTGTGTGTGTGTGTGTGTGTGTGTGTGTATGATTACGGACGCCTTCTTTTACTGTTTTTTTTTCAATCTCTCTAATCATTTAATTAATAAATAGCCAATGATCAACACAGACTTAATGAACTGTATATATATAATAGTGAATAACAGATGCATAGTGTTAGATAACTGTAAATGTAAAGATAAGCTACCATATTCCTTAAACACGATGTTGCTTCTTGGGAAGTGAAGAAAATGTTAAACTTACTGAATCAGATTCACTGACAATGATTGATTAGGCCAAAACTATTGAATATAATATTCTTTGTCTTCCCTCTTTCTCATACTACATGTGTATGTACACATGCATGCACACACACACCACAGGCAAACATGCATATACAGATTTAATTTTCATAGTTTTTGCCAAAGAATAATTATGCCAAGCCCCATGTTCTTAATTTTTCTCTCTTCTCTTTTCTTAATCTCATGGTTAAAATAAATTGCAATGGTATCTTAGGTCTAAATCATCAATAGTTGATAAAACTCAAGCATAGAAGGTGGAGAAGCTCCATGAGTTTCTCATTGGGATAACTTTAAGCATTAAAGTAATACACGATTTCTCATATGTAGTGTCTGGGGTGAGTTGGTACTTAACTATCCAAGAGCCCAGATCCCTAGACTAATAACATCTAATTTTTTTGTTAGATGTAATGTGGGATTGGGATCTATCACTTCATACTGTTAGAAGATCACAAATAATAGAGAATGTTCTTCAATTCTGATATTTAATTTGTCTCAGAAACTCTACAAGTAAATAATTTACCTAAATATATTGTACAATGGGTTTTTCGCATGATTATATTTTCTTCTTTGGTTTGGCATGTCAAAAACTCAGAACCAAATTTGGAATCCACTTCTCATAACTGTAAAGGATCTCATGGTGAGCACTTTATATATTGTTTACCCTAAATTGAATATATTTCCTTATAATTATTTAATGATTCCCCAAATTGACTAAATTAATGTCTTCTTAGATAGTCGAATGGGATAGGTTTCTGAGCGTTTCATTTTAATTTAGTTTAGTTTACAGTCCACCTCAGTAAACAAAATTTAAAAGAAACAAAACTTAAACTCTATACGCTGACCCTGAAAAGTGATATGCTAGTAGAGTATGAAGAGATGGTTAGAATTTCTGTAGCCTTAGTGGTTATGTAAAACGTGCTGGGCAGTTTCCCCAAACTAACCATAATATAATCTCTCCTCTTTCTAATTGTTGAATTCCTTGTTATTCTTTAAGATTCAGCCCAAGCCACATCTCTTCCAAAAAGCCTTTTAACACATAATTGAGTTTTGTTTGTTCATTTGTTTCTACCTTTTTTTAGACTCGTGGCATGATAGCATGAGGAATGCCATAGACTCCCCAGAAAAACTGGTAAAAATTATTAAAAAAAAAAAAATAAAGTCCATGGAAAAGTTCCTAAGGGCATATAGAAAAACAACAGCAACAACAACAAAAATCAGTTTTAGAGAGTCTGTGGTCTTTGAACCAAGATCTGCTCACTCCCTCCACCCTCACAGCTCAGCAAGATGGGAAGTAGACTCCAGACCAACACACCCAACAGCACAGGGCTCCCACTGCTCCAACCTGTTAGTCCAGGGCTATCTACCCAAGAGGGGCAGGCTGTTAGCCATTCTCATCCTGCCCAGATACCTGTGGCTGAGGCAACTGCGGGTGGGGGTAGCTTTCTTCTGCCAAGTCCCCAACTCATTGGGCATAGTGTCAGTAGAAAGCTGGGGCCTTGCTCATGCTCGGCATGGCTCATAAGGGGGAGGTTTCATGCTGAGAGAGGAACCAAGAAGACTGAGGCTACTATCTCCCCTTTCCACAGGGCACTCAGCTCCTAAGCAGAAGTATTACTTAAAAATATGCTCCAGAGCCATGGCTCAGGTTTTGTCTGGGGATGGGTGGAGCAGCATGGAGCGGAGAGCTCTGAATCTCTCATAAAGGAACCGACTCCATTTGCAAAGGAATGTGAAGAAGTCCAAACCTATTGATGATCTCAAAACAATGGAGGTTGTTGCGAAAGATAAATGGGAGAAGATTGATAGATTGAGTAGATTTGGAGATAGAGGCTAAATTGTAGGCCAGCTAGTAGCCAGCTAGTAGGCAAAGACTCAGCTGAGAGAAAGCAAGGCATTCCTTGGCTGGGGCTGCATAACTCCAGTCTCCACCTTCATGGTAACAGGGCT